CAACGCTGCCGCCGCGCTACACACAGGTGAGCCCTGGGCCTGGAGGGTGGAGGGCCCCGACCGTGACCCCACGTATCCTTCCCGCCCCCGCGTGGGGGATGTGCCTTGGCCTGTGGCCTGCTGGTGTTCGACTCCCCACTGCCGCCACCACAGCTGGTAGACCTGCGTGTGGCATTGCCCAATCCTTTCGCCCCTTGTAGTGAATCTGACCGTGGCCTAACCTCCCCCTCCCGTTGTATAATGGATCGGTCTGCGTGCTTATATTTCTCCCCACCCCAAGTTACGGTGGACTCGTCCATGGTCTTGCCTCCCCCCCGACCCCCACTTAGAGAAAATCAGTCTGTAGCAGTGTCCATCCCCCTTAATAGTAGGTGTATCTGAGTGTTTGTATTTCTCCTAGCCTCAACTTTCAGGAGACCCGTCTGTGGCCTTGTTTATTCCACCCCTCCTGTTCCTTGTAACGAATCAATCTGTGGCTCCATGCCCCCCACACACCCTCTTTAACAGTGAGTCCGTCTGAGTTTGTATTCCTGCTTCCTCCAGTCCCCCAATCCATCAACCCGTCGCTTTATCAGTTCCCCCCCCCCGTTTTATAGTGGATCAGTCTACATGTTTGGATTCACATCCCCCAGTTATCAATCCATTGCCCTATCTCTCTTCCCTTTTTTGTAGGCTATCACTCCAGTCCTTGGGCTTCTCCCTTCCTTTTAATGGGTCGTTTTAGTGCTTTTTATCTCCCTATTTTCAGTAACTCAATGTATGGCCTTGTCCTTGTCCCTTTTTAATCAGTCTGTGTGATGGCTTTTCTCTCCCCTCACTCTGGTGCAGGAGTCTGTAAGCCGTTCTGCCCCTCTTTTCCCCAGTAGATGTGCCCATCTTCCCTCCCTTTGTACTGGATCTATTCATTGGCCTTCCTGCTACCTGTGTGCTTGCATTCACACACTCCCTTACGTATCCTCCCATGAGTCCAGTGCTTTGTAATCAGAGGAGGGTCAGCCTGTGTACTTGTATTTTCCTCCTTTTTTTTCTTTTCCTGCCCAGAAGAGAACGTCCAGATCCTCTTCTTTTCTTTGTGGTGGATTAGTCCATAGCCTTCCCTGTCCCCCACCTCGTAATAGTGGGTCAGCCTGTGTGCTGGTTGAACCCAGGGATTTTTTACTCTGGAACACACTCCTTCCTCACACTCTTAACCACAAAGATGTTCTGCGCACTAGCGATAAGTGAATATATTAGTGCTAGTGATAATAGTAATAATGCCAATAGGAGCTAACATTTATTGAGCATCTGCTGTGTATCAGGCAAAGTGTTTTCACCACAACCCTATGTAATAGGTACTAAAGAAGCTGGGGCATAGGGAGGTTAAACACCTTACTCAAAGGTGGCCCAGTAAGCACTCAAGGTGCAGGATAATTTTTGAGGCTCCCTTCTTATTTTATTTTTTTAAGAGACAAGATCATACTCTGGTTTCTATTCAGATCGTATAAATCTTTCAGCTTTTACTAAAGATTTCCATAGAGAGGAACAATTCTGAGTCTTAACCCAATTTTTGAGGCCCTGCACCTGCAGGACTAAAAAAATAAGAGAGAGACAAGGTCTTGCCCTGTCACCTAGGCTGGAGTGCAGTGGCGCCATCATAACTTACTGCAGCCTTGAACTCCTCAGTTCAAGCAATACTCCCACCTCAGCCTCCTGAATAGCTGCGCAGGCATGTGCCACAATACCCGGCTAATTTTTTTTTTTTTTTTTGCTTTTTGTAGAGACAGGGATCTCTCTATGTTGCCCATTCTAGTCTCGAACTCCTGGGTTCAGGCAATCCTCTTGCCCTTGCCTCCCAAAATGCTAGGATTACAAGAGTTAGCCACCACGCCCAGCTGAGGCTCCCCTCTTGAACCTCATCCCAGCCCACTCCTTAAAAACCAAGTTAGTTCCCCTCTCCAAGCTTCTGTTTTTGCTGTTCTCTGCCTGCAGAGAGCTGTCTCCATTTCATACCTTGTCTCAGCACCTACCACCCTCATTCCCAGCAGCTATATGACCTTAGATGAGTGAATTCACACTTTCTGTCTGCACCTATCTTCTCATTTGTAAAATGGGAGAATCAACCAGAATCCCCTCCAAATAGAAAACCTGTAAGTTAATAGTAAAACAAGTAACCTCTCTGGCCTTACCTCCTACACCTCCCCACCTCCTAACCATGCTCCAACCATACTGTCTCCACGTCCCTGCTCCTCAAACACATCAGGCGTAGTCCAGCCTCAGGGCCTTTGCATTGGCTTTTCTTTCTACCCTGAACACTACTCCTGGATCTCTGCCTGGTTCTTTTCAGCACTTGGTTCAAAGAATGTTCACCACACCATGGTGCATGAAACGCTCTACATGTGTGTCAAACATGTTTGTAAGAATGCCAGTTTATGTGTGAATAAGATGAGCTTTATTTTATCAAAAGGATGTGTTCAAAAAACTGACATGTGTAACTGTAAAGGCACAGGCATAAAAACTGTTTCTAAGAGTACTAGTTGTATATGTAAATAAAGGTTATGCTATTTCATTGAAAAAATGTGTTCATAAAACCGTGGTGTATAGCTGGGTGTGGTGGTGTGTGCCTACAGTCCCAGCTCCTTGGGAGGCTGAGGTGGGAGGATGGCTTGAGGCTGGGAGTCCTAGGCCAGCCTGGACAGCATAGCAAGACCCTCTGCCTCTCAAAAACAAACTGTGGTGTATATAACGGGGCAAGTATAAAAAATGTTTCTAAGAGTACTTTCATTCTGTTGGATCTGGGTAGTGCTATTTCAGTAAAGAATGTGTTTGTCACACTGTGATGCTTGGCATACACTACATTAAGGCACATGTAATATACAAAATGTTTCTAAGAATGCTAATTGTAGAAACAAAAAGTCAACTCTTCCTTGACCATCTGAACCTGCACACCCAGCAGTGCTCGGGCACCTTCCCTGCTTTGTTTGTCCCTTTGCCCCTTATCACTATATTACACACTGTGTAGTTTGTTTGTTTATTATCTGTTTCTCCCCATTAGAATGGGAGTCCCACGAGGACTTATAGTTTTTGTCTGTTTATTCACTGCTTTGTCTCCAGTACCTGAAAGTGTACCAGGTAGATATAGGTGTTCGGTAAGAATCTATTGCATAAATAAATGAGAAAAAATATAATTTCAGACATCACTATAGGGGACAAATGGATAAAAAGAAGGAATGAGAGCTATTTAAGAGGACAATTCATTGGAGTTGGGTGTGGTGACTTACGCCTATAATCCCAGGGCTTTGGAAGCTGAGGATCCTTTGAGGCCAAGAGTTCAAGACTACCCTGGACAACATAGACCTCTGTCTCTACACAGAAAAAAAGGCTACTTAGTCGAGACTGTTCTTCAACAAACCTTTACTGAGCACCTAATGAGTACCAGGCACTCTTTTAGCTACAGAATATGGTAGGGAACAAAACAGGCATAAATACCTGCCCTGCCCTTGTGGAGCAGACATTAAAAGTAGGGGAGACAAACTATATGAACAAAAAAGTAAAATTAGTATATTAAACAAGTGCTAAGGAAGACAAAGGAAGTAGGGCAAGTAGGAATAGAGTATTGGGATGGTTGAAATCTTAGGCACAGGGCCAACCTCACTCAGAAGGTGACTCTTGAATTAAGGCCTGAAGGAGGATGGGAAGGAGCCATAATGTCTAGGGGAATAGTACTAGGCAGAAGGAACAGCCAGTGCAAAGGCCCTAAGGTGAGGTTGTGTCTGCCATGTTCAGGGAACATCAAGGAGGCCAGTTTGGCTGGGGGGAGGGGTAGAAA